TAACATTTACAGTATTGTGATTATGGGAATTTTTTATTAAGAAAAAACATCGATCACAAAACATCGATGTTAAAAAGATGTTTTTCCATGGCTTCAGTTATTTGCATGTTCCATGACTATCTCGGCCTTCTTCGATTCTTTATCTATTACTAACTTTTTCTGGAAATCTACCTGCTTTCAACCTTCTCATGTGTCCATACCATTTTAGTTGTTTCATTTCGATCGTCTCGTTCAAGGCTGTTTTATTGGCACTGTACCCGTTTCATTTCCGTTCTAATTTCATTTTTTATTTTGTCTAACTGTGAAACTTTACATCTTCGCCAGAACATCGCTTTTGTTGCTTGAAGTTTGTCTTCTCATATTTTTCTTAGTGTCCATTCTATGAAAGAGCTACTATATATGGATTTCTTTGTCTTTATTGAAATAATTGAGTTTCACAGCACTGGATTGAACTGTCTTATGGCTATTTTTCCTCTCATATTCTTATTTTTCACAGACTGTTATTTTCTACTATCTGCTGTAATGTGACTCCCAAGTACATATATTGAGTATAATCTTTAACTATTCTTACAGTCTCTACATCATGAGGCATATTTCTCACGACCATATATTCAGTCTTTTGCACTTATATTTCCATTCCCTATTTTCCATTATTCTACTAATTTTCTAAACATAAGTTTTCAAAATTAAAACCAAATAAAAATTCACGATTTTGAAATATTACTTTTATTGCACGGGATTAAAATACGTGCTCAACGCCCTTGATATGGGTTGAATTGTTGTGTATTTTTAAGTTTGGCATTTGGCCAACCAACGCTACAGTGTGTTTTACTCCCATGTTCGCTGCCAGGATAACGACACAACGGTTTCAGTCCATTAATTTTATCAGTCGGTCAACGGTCTCAATTCATTAATTGAGGAGCTAAAATCCATCCATAAATTGAGTCGTAATTAACGATAATTAATAGAGTACATCCATTGATTAACCATTAATTATAAAGATAAAATCGAAAAGGGGACGAAAGCAAAAACTTGTGTTTGGAAAAAGATATATTTCCCATTGCTGATGGTGCCTGCCTTGAGTTTGCGCTTGTATACTCCGATGAAAAGAGGAAGTGCTTTCAAGGTCACGATGTGGCAGAAGGAAACACTATGATCCAATAGCGAGCTTCGTTACTACTTAAAAGTTTGGTACTGAAGCTCCGGATTCGATGACAGTGACCCTCCCCTCTTTTCAGCTCGTGACTTTGAAGTGTTTAATTGAAGTATAGTTTGCGATAATGCCACATGATATCGCGGGATGCAACTCTATCGCTCTTAGCGCCAAGAAAGGTGCTAGTGTCTAAGGGAACGAGAGTGTTTGCAAGTGTGTTGATTTTCGAATCTACAAATAGAGAGACATCCTTGAGACTTTGGCCTGTAGTAACAGTGATTGCTCTTACGCTGCTAGGAAATATGCCGAAAGTGAACATCTGTTATAAGTCGTCAGAGGAGGTATAAATAAGACAATAACTTTGTAATGTTTTAAACTAAAAGCGAAAATAACCTAGATTTCATTTACCATTATATATAAGCGTTGTATTATTGATAACGGTGAGTTAGGACGTGTTGAGATTGTAAATGCCGTTTCCAATACAGTTCTTTGTACAAATCGAACATTCAAATAGTTTATGACTTTTCCTTTGCTTTACTGAAGCGCATAGGACATACTTAATGAGTCGTATTCGTTTTATGAACAATAAAAGAATGCGTCATGGCAAGTATCAGGACGCCAAAGACAGCGAAGGCAAGTTTCAGAAAATTATTCAAATCCACCCTGTGGAGGAACAACACAAATATGAAATAGAGTATTGTTAGACGTATTTGGTATAGTACGAAAAGGAACCAGTAACTTCTAGAAGGTCTGAAGAAAAGAAATCTTAAGTTCCAAGATGGCCGTGAAAAAAATGATGCATCTCACAAACAAAAATATACTACGAATTATATTATATTATATCCGCACGTTTTCTTGACCCCCGGAATATCTACCCCCACTCATTTTTAACATTAGTTTAATTAAGAATAAATGATAGCCACGAGCGTTGTAGACAAATTCTGGTTACGAAAAATGCTATCTGGTTACGATAAATGTATTAAAAACTATTTTGCATCGAAAGGTAACTATAAATTCGACGTAAAATTCCTATTGTCAAAATAATCTAAATCCCTACTCCTCTCATCCAGCAAAGCGAGAGCTCAAGAAAACGTGCGCGGAGAATATGTAACTGATTAAAATTCACGTACACTTATTTCCAACAGAAGAGAGCCATTACTTGAGACATAAACATCAAACCGAAACTGTATCAGGCAAATACGATAAAGCCCGAGTCTACTGCTGACGGTCTCTTTTACCGCAGGGTTCTCAAAAGAGAATTTTCCAATCTGCATTTTAGGAGGCCAAGGACAGACACGTGACGCATCTGCGGGAAGTTTACTTTCCGGCCGTCTCTCTACACCTCTATAAAACACGCTTCTGCTGTACTTCGCTTATGTAACTTTTTGTACGGATAGAACTCAACGCACTGAATAATATGACATCAGCATCATTTTGTTGTAACATTTTCATTTTTTAAATGTAATTTGTTCCATAATGCATTGCAATAAAGCCTATGCCAGTATACAATTTCATTTATGAGAGCAATTGTTTTAAATTATTTCTAATGAGGTTTTTAAAAGAGATTCTGGAACATTACAATCGCTATTCAATGTGAACATAGTGTTAAACATTTTTCTGAATGAGTAATTGATATTTTATATTTAGGTAGATTTGAACAAAATACAACAGCCGTTGTGGTATTAGTGGTGTTTCCACCCCTCTTATAGTAGTCAGTTTACTTTCCTGCACAGCAGGAAATTCTGCTATTCAGTATAATTGAAAAATATCACTAATTATTAGGGATGAAATGCATTAAATTCAACCCAACAATGGAATTCCGACGTTTTGGTCGTATAATACGAGTTTCAAGTTCTTTTGGGTCAACTTTGCACTCAGGTCGCAACCACATAACCATACAAATTTCACACAATGATTAAGAACCTATTAGTGATATTTCAAAATTGGTTAAAAGTGGTGCAAATGGAGAGGAAGTACTCGTAATTATATACCCGAAAATCGGGACGTCTATCTGCATGGATGGTTGGAAGAACGTGCCACGCATAACTTTATCAGATTAGATCATTTTGATCTACAACTCGACATACACATAAAGAGTAAGATCAAGTTATGCCATTTCGGAGCCCATTACGATATCTTAATTTTTTAGGAATTTTACAAGAAACCACTTTTATGAAAATTTTAAAGAAAATTGGAATGTTTTGTTTGAATATACAAATATATTTGTAATAAAGTACATTTGGAAGTAAGGTATAGTTCCGATTTTCATTAAAACCTCTGTCACTTACAAGGAAACTATCATTAGGTGCAGGTCGAAATATGGTCTCATATTTTTTCTGTATATAAATATTCACTGTTTCTATTCACAGTGAAAAAAATATCTGCCGAACCCGCGCTGGAAGTTATTGAAAAAAAAATCCACCCTTTCCACGACATTCACGCTGGGTTTGTGCAGCCCTACTCACAGTGAATGTCCACCAAGAGAACAAGTGCTCCTATGGGCTTATATATTCAGAGCCCTGAAACAGCTAATGCCATGGCCCACGCCCTTGACAAGCCCGCAATGCCGCGCAGCGCAAAACATATTCTTCCGGGCACTAGTTCTTCGACGTTGAGAAACAGAAACGTGAAGTGATACCTACATGTTACCGCGACTTGTAAGCATACGTTGTTTGGCAATCTTCAATTATTTTTGTCACAGATAATTATTATTTTCATTATCATTATTATTTTATTATTATATTATTATAATATTATATTATACTCTTTTATTATTATTATATAATTTGCATGTTAGCTGTTGTATTTTATTTATGTAATTAGCTGCCACCGGGTTATGCCCATTTGCAGTTCAAATAAATTTATCTTTTACCTTATTTTTATCAATGTATGAGGGTGCTGTTCAAAGCGTTTGTACACTCCCGTAAGCCGCCATACCATTTTTAGATCATAATCCATGCTGGGGAATGACCCCGAAACAAAAAGTGCTTGTGAGTTTCATTATTCCGTTCGATAAGACGGCCCTGAGCGACGCAGAAGCTAGTGGTTGATTTGTGATTGCTAGTAAATGTTTGTAAATCATTGAGATAAGCAGCGCCTTCGAGGGGCTCAAAGACGCCTGGCCAAATACGCCTCTTATTATACAGTATTATAGTCAGTGGGCACTTAATATGAAGATCGATTTATAAGTGGATGCATTTTTTTAAATAATTCTAAATGTACATTAACAATTTTTCTAATAAAATTGGATGGCAATAATCGAATTGTGTGATCGTAAATTTCAATTGATGTATAGAATGATTGGCCTAAAATTAATCGATTTAATTGTGCTGATTACACTTTAATACTTTAATAATACAAAATTATCGATTGTCGTACAAATTGCGACAAATCTCCAGTAACTAACTGAGGAATAAACAAAGTAAATCCACTGACATATTACACCAGATGACAATGTTCCCCGAAATGAACTACTGTGTTTCATCTAGCAAACTGTGAGAAATAATCGGTCAGTAGAGATCCTAGCGAGCAATAACAGCACATACGTGAGTCGTTCGGTCACACTGCTCGCTGCAGCAAGAATTATCAACGTCGTCAGCGAAAACAGAGCGGGCAATACTGACCAAATTGCTTATTTATTTCCGTAACTTTCAGTGCGCGATCGCAGCTAATTTTCTCACAGCACATATTTAACCGTTGACCATCTGTGAAAGATAAGAACGCTACATTTAAATAGCGCGGTCTGTGCCCTCTGCAAGAGGAGCCACGCGTATTTATGTACATTCTGAGACAAATGAATTGTAGTGTCTCTGCCGACCGATGCGAGGGGAGGGGAGACAGGCAGAAGAATGGCGGCAGGAGGCAGGCAGCCATGAATGTCGGATCGTGAGCTAGGAGAAGAATATGGTTTCATTACTTGAATATATTTGACGCATAGTTTTACTTTTGTAATTTAATACTTTCTATCTATGATATTTGAAGAATTTGGAAAATCGTGTGAATAAATTTTGAAAAATAACACCAGAGAACGGACGGCACGGAGTGCAATGTGAAGGACGATGCATTGTGGACAGCCGGACTCGAGGAAGTGAAAAGCCAAACTTCTACAACGACATTCGAGAAGGCCCAGGTAGAATCAACGTTTTGTGGCAGCATTATAACGCCCTGCGAATGAAATGTTTTTTTTTGTACTTGGTCTCGGACTATATCGATCCGCAATTTCTCAATTAATTGTGTGATAGGTATTCCACGTGCGCGTGGGGGACGGGACTCTGCTATTGTATCGTTATAGTTATTTTGTTTTTAAGTCGAACTACTAAAGGAGTCACAGACTAGAAATATAACATTTTGCGACGCGCAGACGAGTGCAATTGCGCGTCGAAAGAGAAAAGTGGTCTAGATCAGTGTGAGCGGTATGCCAACATAACGGTAATAAGTGGCAGCTTGGAGAAAAATAAGCTGGAAACAGAATTAGGTGGAAAAGTATAGAGAAAGAGAGAGGTAGAGAAAAAGAAAATGGTGTGTAACCTAAATAGTTGATATTTTGAGTTCTTGTTACTCGATTCTATTGGTATAGGACACTAACAATGTGAAGATAGAACAACAATTTTGTATCTTAAGGCATGGTAGTTAAAGAAGCATAGAATAGGACGATTTTAAATTGGTATAGCTGGTAAATTAATTGTATTGTAATGATGTGTTACGTGTTTCAAATTAGTACGTGCGAAATATTGCAATTATTTTGTTCTTTTATTCAGATAGTGAATGTAAATAGAAAGAAATTTTAATGAGAGTGTGATTGCCATGATAGTTAAGAAGTGTAAGGAAATACTTTTAACAGTGTGAATATTTAATTGTGTGTTTGTGCAGATTGCAAAATTGTATAAGCATTTGTTATTTTCTCAATTTGTTTAGTGAAAGGATCCAAACATTATTTCTTCACTGATTTTGTTATTGTTAAAAAAGATAATTAAGGGTTTAAGTAGTGTACACGGTACACCCTTAGAGAAGCGTGGCGGCGGAGGGGAGGGGAAAGGGGTGGAAGGGGAAGGAGGGGAAGAAGGGAGAGGAGGGGGAAGGGGGACAAGGGAGATGGGAGGAGACGATTTTATAACCCAATGATAAGTCATTACTAATATCTGAATTATACTCAACTTGCTCCCCGCAAACCATGACCCTTTCCGCACGCAACACTTACGCACACGAGGAGTGGCCGCTTTCTTGCTACACTTCCACTCGAAACTATCGCACAACTTTGGCTTGGCGAACTTCATAGGTCACTTACACACAGCACACTTAAATCGTGCAGGAATCAAACTTCGTTTTTGCGCCCATTCAATGAAAGCCTAACACCCCCTTTGGCACAATGCGCAAAAAAATCCACATTTATTCTCACCATCGTAGCACAGACACCAGACACTCAAAAAAAATCGCAAAGAATCCGAAGGACGCAAGAAACTTGACTGTACAACAGCAATGAAGCTAAACACTTCGACAGCTACCCAACACAAAATCACGAAGACACACGATTTACGTCGCATCATTCAATTTCGTAATGAAGTTTTGACGAGATATTAGAGTGAAATTTCCTCCACCCCTCACTTTAGACGTCACGTTCGTGACAAATTGCGAATTCTTAAAATTATTTCAGAAGTGTATTTTTTTTACAATTTATATACATTTCCCACGCTTTGCTTTTTATATGTATGAACAAAGTTACGCATATTGCTCACCACCCCTCCCCAGCGAACGGTTCCCCTCAACCCCTCGTCTCCTCCACCCTTCGACCCCTCCACCCCTCCACTGAATTTCCCCTCGCCGAAGCGGTGTGAACTGCCGGTTTAAACGACTTCCTTAAGATGTACCGTATACTAGTCTTCAGCCGGATAATGATTTTGTTTTGGATTTAAGAATATATTTATTTTGTTTTGGACATTTTCTGGATACGCATTTCTTTTCCACAGACCAGGAAAAAGATCCACAAAAATGTTTGTTATTGACTACTTATTTTAAAGTCACAGTTATGAACCTCCAAGTTCATTGGAAATGAAAACGTTTTCAATATAAATAGTGAATATCTTTCAATAGAAACAAATAAGGACAGATTTCCACCTGAACCTGTGAAAAGTCCTTGTTAATAAATTTGAAACATCTTTTAATATTTAAAACACTAAGAGTTTCGTTTAAAAAGAAATGTGAACTTTTTATTCAACCAAATTTTGTGATTTTTTCTTTAAATATAGACTCTAAATATGTTTGCACTTACTCTTATTTGCTTATTTTGTGGAATAAACACTAAATTACAATAATATCCTGAAATTAAGAATGAACGCTTATTTGCCGTGTTTCATTATGTTATTGTGTGAGCTGCATTTATTGTATTGAAAGCTTTAGATATTTCGTCTTTGGAAAAACATGTTAGTGTGACTTTATGGTAATCGAAGAGAAAATAGAAAGTTTTCTCAAGTCTGAAGTGTGCTTTTAAACGCAAAAAATAGGTATGTGTAATTGCAATGTCCAGCAAATGTTTGACACAAGTGTTCTTTCAGAAAAAATTCAGTGATTGTAATAAGTGGGGCATTGCATTTTATATTTAGGGGGATAATAGGATATTTTTGCAGTAGTTGCTTACACTCTTACATACATATAAACATTTCAATTTCATTTCCAGCAACATGTTCATCTCTATGTGAACAGTGAGTAGTGACTTTATGGTATTCATCAATTGTAAATCACCCTCATTCCATTATACTTCAAGATTAAATACGAAACGACATGGAACATTTTTTTAAATGTTCCTTACTTGGGGAACTTGTAAAACTTTTGTCACTTGTCTACAGCTCTTCCTTTAAATTGATACAATTGCAAGGATTCATCTAGTTCAAATCCACACCAAATTAAAGACAGATTTTTTGGTTAATGGTATTGATTGTTGTTGTTGAATGGTGTTATACAGAACGCGATCAGTACAGAAAAACATAAAACTTAAGAAATAGATTGCTGAGCACCATTGAATTGTGACATTCATAATGTATCCAAGCAATGTGTGCGTTGGAGGCAGAAAAGGTACATCTCATATTATTGCTCTCAGGTTCATAAATTGCCAAAAATGACCAATAATAAACATCAATTAATTGTGAAAAAGTAATGTGAATTGGATGTAAATATACCTACAATCCACACATTTCATTTTCTGTGTGTGCTTCCTTACTACTCGAATTTTTAAGATGTTTTCCAACATTCCAAACCATTTTTCGACCACATTGAGTCTTGTTGCTTGGATGGTTTATGCATAACTGTATTGAATTTTAGATCTTAAAATAATGTCATACACTTGTTTAAGACTAATAACACCAAGGCGATGAAAAGTTACGGCAAGTCGCGAATTCCCACTAGTTTTGTATAAGTGTATATTGATTTATTGATTGATTACTGGTGATCCCGGGTGCGTCAACTGCTAAGGTCATTAGTCCCGTAAGTATAATACATTTTTGTTTGTTCGAGAGGTGGTGGTGATCTTGCCCCCTGGATGTTGAGATCCAGCGCCGACTTACCATCGGCTAGCAGGGTTTTCCCCAACCAGATAATTCTCACCAGCGGGGCACCGCCCCATGCAGGACAAGCTCTAAGCTTCCGATCGGTCTACTGGCATGTGTGGTTGTGTAGTGTATGTAAGAGTGTGTGTGTGTGTGTGTGTGTGTGTGTGTGTAAGAGGTGAGGATAGGGCAAGGAATGAGAAGGAAATATCGCGCGCGGTCCATGGCCCATTTGATAGGATACTGCTCAGGTATCGCCTGGTATTGATTGAAGAAATCGTGGAAAACTACTGATCAGAGCAGCTGGACGCTAGAATTCTCTTCCAGAGAGCAAAAGAACTTAACCTAGCTATCTGGATAGTGTCGAAAATTGTGTCACCATCGGGACTCAAACCCCAGGACCTCCTGGTGACAGGCACAGCAAGGACATCAATTGATGCTCTCTGAATCACCTCTGCCGATTCGTGAAGAAACGTGCCTGGCAACACAGGCACACAAACAGGCAAACAAACAGACCTTTATTGTCAACCAATTTTTCGATATTAAGAATTCACAGAACTTGTATTCTGACTGCACAACGTATTAGAGGAAGGGATTTTCTACACATAGAAACAAAATGTATCCACTTTTTTGTAGTATGTAGTAAGGCGAGAAAGTTAAAGATAAGTGTACTCGAAACGCAGAAGTAATTTTCAACATTGTATTGCCACAGAAGCCACAGCCAGGTCCAAATAGAGCAACCTTTCGCGGAGTAGCATCTCGCAGGGAGGACAAGAAGTGGAAGTATTGGTATTGACGGACGTGCTTGTGTTTGAGAGCAAGGCGGCTACTCGAGCGCAGCGGCCGGCCGTTCTGTGAGTCACCGGCGGGGCACCCGCCGCGGCGTTTCCCGGAAAGGCTTGGGATCGAGCGGTTCGCAGCGCCCCCGAGCGTTGAACCTGGGAAGAAGCCAGACGCCCGCCGCACCGCACCGTGCCGCGCCGCCTCGGCTGAGGAGGCGAGGTAGAATTTACTGCAGAGACGCCATCATTGAAACAAATTTATACCATATTTTTGTACAGTGAAAGCCGCTCTCTCTGGGCAATTATTCAATATCATAAATTTCTATTTGACAACACAACGTATTACGTACATACAGAAGCAAGAATTATCCAATTTTTCGGTATCAAGGATCCACAATACGAAACTAGAAAAAACGACTGTCGAAAAAAGTCTCGTTTTTTGCTGCAACGTTACAACTCTTTCTATATTATACGTTAGTATTTTACGAGAAAGTAAAATATTAGTAAAATTGTTTAAATAAACCCATCTTTATTAACATTATTAACATTTATTACAGTTTCATTAATATATGTTTAACTAATGAGAAATCCTAAAATTATTTTATATGCTTTTAGATGTATGAACGTTTATACCGCATTATAAGGTTGCCGAGACTATATTTTCAGATTATCTTCACCAGCATTTTCAGATTCTCTTCACCTTCATATCTTCCTTATGCAGATATTTATTCCTAGTCAAGTGAACATTTATAATACTTTTTATCATAATCCATAACTTTTGATGTTATAAAAAATGTGCTGCGACCAACAAA